CCAGTGCTGCCAGGTGACAGATACGATATCACACCAGTTATTTATAAGATCTCTCAAAAATGGGGTTGAACACTTATATAAATAATGTAAATAAACAACAATAGATACCATAATAATGTGTAATTATTTTATTTCATGCATTTCATAGGTATTTATCAAGATCATTTATAATTTCTTTGAATTCAAATTCTATTTTTCCCAAAGTCTATGGAACTCCGATACAAAATGGCAACACCGTTCATTAAAAACCGACAAAAATAAAAAGTCCAGTAAAAGATATGATGGTAAAGCAAATTTTGGGCCATTATTTTTGTTAGGCTTATAGTCAAAGTTTTTGGTAAGTCGTCGATTTCGTGGACTTGAGATTAAGCTAAGCCAACACTAGGGAGAGATTCGCAGTTTGCTCTATAAATACCGACTGTGTCTTAGCTCGATAGTTAAGTCAGAGCAAAGTCTAAGTGCGGACTATAGATCTCACCCTCAGTCCAACTAACCGGTCAACTGTACCACGCGCTTTAAAATCAAAGATTTAGTTTGATTGGCACCTTCTTTCTTTACTTTACGATAAACTTTGAAAACAATATTTCTCGCTTAAGATCGAAGTTGCTTTTTTGACATTTTCACAAAAACAACAAATTTCAAGAAGATACAAAATCTCAGCAGCGGTTGACAGATCTCGTGCTTTGATTTGATTGACTTTGATGGCTGACACTTGGACATTGCCAAATAAAACTCTATTTTTTTTTTATTTTTGTTTATGCCATGAGATTCCGGTAGACCTATAGGTTTAAGGATTAGACTTTAGAGCCCAAAGAATTAGTGACTCGTATGTGAACAACATAATGGATGATGGATTTGACAAACAAGAGTCGAATTTAGCACTTTGTCGCGACTCAGAATCGAGACTAAGCGTTTGTCAACTGTTATCGTAAGATTAATCTACCTTCAAATAATTGAATTGCAAAACGCTCAAACTGTGCAGTAATCGCAATTCGCAATATCAAGTATGGTCTCATCGGACTTCACTGAGGTTTTATCTAGGTTATTGTAATTATTTATTTTGGGATTGTTTAATAGTTTTAGTTTATTAATAAAGTCTCTATTTTCGTTAGTCACCTTTTTTTCACAAACAATATTTTTGAAGCATTATTCCTTATACATATGAATTAAGGAATTCTTATACTATAGAATATATTATATACTGCTCAAAACAATTAGCGGAACAAGATTTTTCTCCTTTCTATTGCTTAAACTAAAATTAGATTTAAATTAACTTGTACGCTATTTTTTACCTCGTTAATTTGTTAATTACTACAATTAATAAAAAAAATCAATTTGTATTTTTTTTTATTAAAAAAAATTAAAATGTGCATTGTAGACGTAAAACAAAGTGACGTCTTTGAATTTTCATTACTTTCTAATCACAGAAAACACATTTTAAGTAGTTTTTTTCAATCTTTTGAATATTAACAGAAATTGAAGTGAGCCTTTTGAGTATTGTTATTCATTGAAGCGAGTGAGTTTAGGTCATAATGCCAGATCTGACTGAATTGCATGTCTCCCGAGCTATCGCTATGCGTTATGTAGGAAATGATCTAGGAGTAGCCCCTTCTGTTATCTACAGACTTTGGAAGCGATACCGTGAGACGGGAGAATACTCACGAAGGCGTGGTCAAGGTCGAAAGAGAAAAACTACACGTTTGCAAGATCGCTACATCGTCAACTGTGCTTTACGTAACCGCACCACAACTGCAAGAGATCTACAAAATACACTAAGGACGGCTACTGGTGTAGAAATTTCCGACCAGACGGTAAGAAATAGGTTGTTGGAAGCCAATTTGAGATCACGCCGACCAGTTCGGGCTGTGCGTCTAACAATTCAACATAGACAAGCTCGCCGACAGTTCGCGCAAAATCACGCTAATTGGCAACTTCGACATTGGAGGCCAGTGCTTTTTACTGACGAATCACGATTCCGTCTAACACGTTGCGATGGTCGTCTCCGTGTTTACAGACGCCCAGGCGAGCGATACAGTGCAGCAGCAGTCCAGGAATATGACAAATTTGGATGTGGCTCTGTGATGGTTTGGGGCGGAGTTAGTTTGGACGAGCGCACAGATCTCGTCGTTGTTCCCGGGCGCTTGTGTGCTCAAACTTACATTGAAAATGTGCTCGAAGATCATGTTTGGCCCGCAGCATATGGTATGGGCCCAGATTTTCTTTTAATGCAAGATAATGCCAGGCCGCATACTGCAGCCATCACGTCAGATTACTTACGACAGCACGAAATCCGTGTAATGGAGTGGCCTTCCATGAGCCCTGACCTAAATCCAATTGAACACATTTGGGACTTGCTTGACAGGCGCATCCGGAAGCGTCCGATTGCACCTCAAACACTGCAGCAGCTCACTGAAGCGTTGATTGAAGAATGGGAGCGAATTCCACAAGAAGATATTCGGAGGATCATACGAAGCATGCCGCGTCGTTGTCAAGCCGTGATTAGGGCCACACACGTTACTGAAAGTCACTAAAGACGAATATTCAAACGATATAAGAATATTTCTTTGATGGACCTTTTTTATCACCAATTAGTTTTTCGTCTACAATGCACATTTTAATTTTTTTTAATAAAAAAAATACAAATTGATTTTTTTTATTAATTGTAGTAAATACAAATTGATTTTTTTTATTAACAAGGTAAAAAATTGCGTACAAGTTAATTTAAATCTAATTTTAGTTTAAGCAATAGAAAGGAGAAAAATCTTGTTCCGCTAATTGTTTTGAGCAGTATATTATAATTTTGTTAGTAAAAAATTACCGTTTCAAATGTGTGATTTAGGAGAAATGGTAAGGATCACTGGTTTAAATATAATTTCTAAACGCACTACTCGCTGACCACCTATCGTCTACTCACAGATCTGCCTAACCGGCACGCGACTTCGTCCACCGACGTCATAATCGAAAGCCAAACATCGATGTTCGATATTTATCGAAAACCGAACTGAATGATTTTTTTATTGACTAAGAAATAAAATACTGTCAAATGGTTCGACATTTATTAAGAAACAAAACAAATTATTAAATATTCCGATATTTTTTATCAACTGACTGAATGAAAAGTAATTTTAATAAAGAAGACCTAATCTATTTCTTGGTTGAGAGAGAAAGCGAGCGAGACTTCGAAGAACGAACGAAGGGAACGACCGTATAGCAACATCGATGTAAAAAATCATTAACATCAAAACATCTATGTTTTTGAAGTTATACTTCTTTTCGTTAAATATTTATTATTAATTATTTAAAAATTGAAAAATTTGTGATAAAAAATTAAAATTGAACATCAAATTTAAATATTAATTTCTAATATTTATTCTTAAAATGAATGAATAATAAAATAATAAATAATAATAATTATTATTATTAATTAATAATTGTATCTAGTAATCATCATCATCACAATAAATCTGAAAATGATCGCGAGAAATCAGTGACTAGACTCTAGTATGTATGTAAAACCAAGTTTCAAAAAATGCAAATAAATTAACGCACATTCATGTGAAAATAAAAAAAATGAAAAAAGTAACGGATTTCTAACGGAAATTTTGCACTGTAAGACTGTTCACACACTGTTCTAGCAAAATCCACTTTCGAAATGGCCGTTTGCGTTTATAAAATTAATAGGGATGTGAAAAATAATCGATTTCTTTAAAAGTGAAAATCGATTTTTGTATTCGATTATAATATTAAAAATAATTGAAAATCAATCATAGTTGATCAGTTTCAGTTGAACAGTTATTTAAAAAAAAATATTATTATACTAACCTAACCTAACCGAACAATATTTTTTTTTTTTTAAGTCTTTATCATGCAATCAGTCAGTTAGACTATGAGCAGATGTGTTGGGAGCTGTTAGGCGTTCAGAGCAAAATCTCCATCGAGACTGCTCCTCTCTTTCAACCGTGTCTATCAAGACTTAGGATTTGTCGTCTTTTAAGCCTATTTATTAGGTCCGGTATGGTAACCGAACAATAATAATAATACATTTTTGGACAGCTCTTTAACAAAAATATTAATATACTAACCTAACCTAACCGAATAATAATACATTTTTGGACAGCTCTTTAACAAAAAATATTAATATAGGGGAGACTGGGGCCACTTGATCCCCCGTTTTGTTTTTTGGCAATTATTTTGTAAATATTGATCAGATTTTAAATATTTTGGTACTGAAGTACGTGGAAAATCATTGGTTATACTAAGTATAATAGCTAATGATATCCGTATATAAATTGACTAACTAGCACATGAAAATTTCGTATAGGAAATGATATCATGTGTCCCATATATATGTCTGACTTGATCCCCCCCTTCTGGAAGACTTGATCCTGGGGGGAACAAGTCTCCCACATTTAGGGTCATATGATTCCAATAAAGAAGAAAAGGAAAAAAATATGTTAAAATTGTTTTTATCATTGATTTATTTGCTAAATAAGAAACAACAACTATGTTCCTATTATTACAGAATCTTCTGATTGAACTAAAATAACGTGAATTAATTTTGCTTTTATAAAATTAAACAATAGTTAGGTTAAATGTATGTGTAACTTAAACAGTCTTTTCTTTTCATCTATTAGCAATCATCTATTATTTTTTCTAATTTTCAATTTTTTGTCATTTATGTCTTTGCTTATTATTCAACTAATAACAATTTATGTCACTTAATACTTTATTGTATTTGGGAGGCTCTAGCTGCTACAATATTATTATCTATTTTGTGAGAACTCAAATCACATGTACCTAAATTTGTTTAAAAAGAAAATGTTGCAAACAAATATAACTTAATGTTCTAGTCTTTTACTTAAAACTAAAAAAAACATTAAATAAATTTTGCATTTAGCAACAAAACAAAATACCCTTTTGGTTAAATTAAAGTTAAGTTATTCTTTCTTAAAGTTAAACAGTCTTTTCTTTTTATCTATTAGCAATTACCTTTTCACTTTTTATTTCTCAATATTAAATTTTCTTATTGATTTTGGAAACATAAAACTAATGACTCTTTTTGATGATGATTTCACTTTCGGATCTGGTAGTTTTTTCACAACTTGATATTTAGCAATTGAACTAATATCGTCGTTAACAGGCCACTTGAACATCTTATCATTAATTTTTTTAGCGAATTTAATGTCATATCCAGCTCGACTTTCCCTCAGTATTTGCCCAACATATTTATGAACGAGATTCTTTTGCGAGATTAGGTTCACAATAACCCAATCTCCAATGATGATGGAGTCATTGGAGTCATCTTCATTCTCTGATTCGCTACAACTGCTACCAGAGATATCACTTTCATCAAACGCACTTAAAACTGATTCTGGCGATGGCGGTAATTCTTCATCTTCCGACGTTGTCACTTCTTGTTCTTGTGAATTTAGGTTACGTTTTACTGCTTTTACTTTCGCTTTGCAAATCTTCTTTTCTTTTTTTCTGTTTTCTAGCTGCCCACTCATTCTCGATTGCCAGTTTTTCCGGTGTGTCGGTCAAAATCCTAGTTTTACCTTTTTTTCTCCCCTTTCCAGAGCCTTTTCTCGGTCCTGCTTTTGGGTGTGGTCTTATTACTTCAGGACTTACAAATGCTGATGTAGAAGGTTTTGGAACGTGAATATTGTGAGAATGGGTCGGTGTTTTAGGGCTATCGTTATTTCTAATTTGTGAAGAACCAGCTGCATGCGGTCTGTTATTATTGTAGGAATTCATAAGGGCATCTCTATTACTGGCCATACATATGGAAAGCAATTTTGGGGGAGATTTTGTAGAATCATTTTCCTTTTCATTATCAGAAATATCGGGAGTCACATCGTCATCTGGAATTGGCACTGGTGCAACTGGCGCAACATTTTCTGCATTAAGCATAAGGGCAGGGGAAGCTGCTTGATAAAATAGACGGTGACACAGATGGTGAGGTTATAACATTGTCTGTTTCAGTTTGCACGTTTTTTCTGTCAGTAACGTAGGAGCTTAAATATTCGTCATCTGTGAATATATCAGGGTTAAATGAAAAAATTCCAGTAACTGAGAAACTTTTCTGAATATTTCTAGGAGTCATTGCATTTGGGTAAGCACTGCCTAGACATCCAGCCAAATCATATATGGTTAACGGCCGCCCTGGATGACTAACCATCCAATTATCGCATGCAGTATTGTAGTATGACTTCATCGCTCCAAATACTATTCGATCCAAAGGTTGTAATTTTTGAGAGGTATGTGGTGGTATAGTTAAAAGATGGATACCATTATCTTTGCAGTAGTTTATAGATGGTGCGTTCCACTAAGCGCTCACGACGATCAAAATGCTCCTTTAGCCATTCCACATACCGACCGCGGTCGTTGTGGTCACGGCGAAAACGTCACTCATGACGTCATGACTAATGCTCACGCAACGCTCACAACGACCCATCTAAAGAGGTGGGTCGTTGTGAACGTTGAGAATAATTTGGCGCAATTTTTGAATTTTTTTTTTGAAATATGACAAATAATAATATTATTATATTCAAAGCTTAAAGACAAGAAAAATCACATTATTTGATTCAGAAAGAGAAATTGTTGTAGATGCTATCGTTTCTGAAGCTGCTCGTGCAGAAAGAGGTAAATATAATTATGCAATATAAGTTTAATACAATTGATTTTAGTTTATATTCAACAGCTATTTATACATTTTTCCTGAATAATGGATAGCATAACCTAACTCAATGTAAACGATATATATTTTCATTAATAATATATATATATATTTGGTAAATTTATTTTATTTGCAGATGTATTTTTTGCAACTGAGCTATTAAGAAAAGCTGAAGCTTCCGCATCTGTTCAAGAAGATCAAGAATTTATTGAAGAGACTTCAGAGAGTTTTATTGAAGAACGGCTTGATAGTGATAATCTCAATTTAAATGTTAAATTAAAAAAAAAATAGTTTGTAATAATTTGTAAATATTAAAAAATTTTATTTATAGTTCATACAATTTACATCAAATTATTATTTTCACTCAAATGTTCAAAAATCCAATGATCATACAATTTTGATAATTTTCGGTCCTATAAAACTATTGTGATTACTCCTAACAGGATTTATGATGAGTTTTCTACCAGTTTTACAAAGAATTCATAATAGCATCTCTTTTAATAACTCCTGCAGTTTCCAAAATTATTTATAAAATATTCAATTATTCTTCACTTTTAACATAAATAAAATTAAGTCACAATTATCAAAACTTATTGTTTATGATTACCTAACCTCCTTAAAATTCTACTATTTTCAAACTTGACATTTGTAATATTTACATGAACGCCCGAAACGCTCCATAATCCATTCCACTTGAGTTAACGACAGTAACATTCACAATCAAGTGGAATGGGGAAATCAGCGGTCGTGAGCGTGAGCGTTGTGAACGCTTAGTGGAACGCACCAAGAGTCAATGGTAATGTGTGACTCATGGTTGTCAAATATAATAAGACAAGGGGGCCTACCATGAACTTTCTTAAAACAACCCAGTTGAGATGCAGCGGAGTTTAGGTACCTAAAGTCAATAGCATTTTTTCGTACCATGACCGTCTATAAGCTGAAACGTATTAGCATCGCAAGACCGAATGAATGAACGATAATTTTGTTCGTGGTTTCTGATAACGTTTAGAAATTTAACTGTCAAACTTACTTCGACAGATGTTTCTATGAAAATAAATAAAATATAAAATTATTTTAAATAATTCATCAATCACAATAAGCTATTATGTCTTAAGATAAATATTTATTTTATATAAAACTATTCTTTTGATATATTTTAAACGGAAAGTTCTCTAGTGCTATGACAGTTGACACTTATTATTTTTAAACGTTTCTTTCAAATTTTGATAGGAGCTTTCAATATTTTGGTGTTTACAAAATTTCGGTTTTATAAATATATTTACAAATTGTTTAACTTATAAAATAATGGTATGGGGTAAGTATTGTTCACAAATTTGTTTATTAAAAATAAATACCTATAACGAAGTGAATTACTGATATAAAACCCTTTGTAAAAGATATTACAAATCAACTTATTACTCTAAAATCATAAGTAACTATAATAAAAATTAATTCCTTCAAATTGTACAAACTCAATTTATACGTTAACTAATTCATATAATATAAATAATTATACTTTCTTTACAGGAAAGCCCCTCTTCATCTCCCAATACGGCTGGTCACCGCGGGGGATAATGACTACAACCTTCCATCTCCACTACAAAACTTCGATGTATGCACTTACAATGCAAAATCTTTTCTATCAAATGAAAGTTTATTATTATGACGAACCACCAAACTATTCCAATAAAGGTTAATAACAGTATATTACAATATGATTAAAACTATGTTTACCTGGGTCAAGTATGTTTCTCAAAGACAAGACACGACGATTAGATTAAAAGACGAGTCAACATAACCTGGAATAAATCCTGGAGCAATAAAGAAACCCTTAAATCAGAATTTTAAAACTTAAGAAAAAAATTATGGACTCATATTTAATACCTTGTCTTACATATGGCTTCCAGACATGGATTTACAATAACTACACCAAAAACAAAATACAAGTGTGCCAGAGAATGATGGAAAGGAGTCTACTAAACATACAAAGACAACATCGGAAGAGAAATAAGGAAAACAACAAAAATAATAGACGCTTTAGACAAAAATGTAATTGTGTGCTCGCATGGACAAGGAAAAATGGACACCAAGGGTAACCTGGCGAGAACCAACAAAAAGATTAAGAGGTAGACTAAAGTAAAACTGGATTGATGAAATAAAAAGAAAAGCTGGTGAAAACTGGACCACCAAAGCAAAAGACAGACAGATGGGGAGCAAAATGGAGGAGGCCTTTACCCGTAGAGGGGTCCATAACGATTTAATGATACTTTATAATGATTTATAAAAATGAATTTTTTTTTTGATTCCTATTAATTTATTTATCATTTCAAACTTATATACACTGAAATTATTACAGTCAAAACCGTTTATAACGACATCGTTTACAACGACCTATCGGTTATTACAACCAGATTGTATGGTCCCGTCCGAATCCCTAGTAAACTATTCAGCAAATAAACCGCTTATAACAACATCGGATACAGCGACATATCGCTTACAACGACGAAATATTATCGATATTCATCGGCTATAACGACCAACCGCTTCTTGTCTCAGCAAAACAAAACAATACAAACGATTTTAAATCTTATTTATAAGCATTGAATGAATATTTAGGCATATTATTATAAAGTGCGTACACTTTCTCTTACCTCTTCCCGGCCATTTGACCTTGCATACTTTACATAATATGTTCAGTTCGCTAATTGACTGCGTGAGTATACTGAGTAACAGTTTGATTTAAAAGTGTTGGTGTTGTTTAGACTGTGCAATTCTGCATTTATGTGTTATCATGTCGCAAAAAAAGAGAAAAGTGTTTTTTATTGAAGAAAAATCTCATGTCATATGGATAAAATGCAAAAAATATTTGAGACTGGGCTAAAAAAAACAGACCAAAATGACTGATTACTTTTGTACCTAATTATTTCGTAATAAATATTTTTGTTTCTTTTTTGACTCGTTTACATACTATAATATTAACATACCATATTATAACCCATACCTACCTATTCTAGATAGATAACTACAGTAGAACCTCGATAAGATAAAGTCCAAGGGAAACACAAAATATTTTATGTTATCGAGGTTTTAAGTTATCAAGGTTTTATGTCAGGTAAAGGCTAATATAGAGGTATGTACATGTTTCTATGTACCCTTCCTCCCATTTTTACTTGAATGCATCAGAAGGATGGAAAATTAAATATTTAATCATATTTATTCACATTACTTACATTACATAAAAATAAAACAACAACTAAAGGTTTAGTCTACTTAAAAAAAACTGTGATTTTCTTTTGTTTTAAAAAATTCACTGTTTATAATCGATTTGATTTTCAATGACAAATAGAGAGGAGAATACATTAACACATTAACTTATGATGCAAGTAAGTCGTTGTCACAAAGCTAACCGCCGCAAAGCTTTGAAGAATTTAGATAAAGCAAACAATAGGTAATGTATTGTTTACGTTAACAATACATTAGTAAACACGTGCAAGCAATAAATACCGAAACCATTTGTTTTGACACTCTTATAAAATGACTCATTCACAAACAATTTTATGTTATAGAGGTTGTGGAAACATTTCTTTTAGTTACTGAGGGCCTATACAGAGATTATTTATTTACGTTATAGAGGTTGCGTATTTTAAGTTATAGAGGTTTTGGGCTCTGATGGGAAGGGAACATAGTATTTTTTGAAGTAACAGAGGTTTTTATGTTACCGAGGTTTACGTTATCGAGGTTCTACTGTATTAGCCGTCGGAAATATCTGCGAACCTCGCTGGAATGCGCTTCCCCTGGCGCTTCCCCGCACCCCGCCCCGTTTTCGCCTATCCAGTACCGTTGCCAACGCAATCGCCGACGCACGTGTATTATTCTTGCTTTCGTAATCGCATTTTAGTGTTTATTGTTTCTCTGTTTGGTGAAATATTACATAAACTACCTATTTAGTGCTGTATGTAAGATGGGTAGGACTATACATAGTGCAGAGCGGAATTTAGTGCTCAAAGTAATCCAATTCTTTGAAAATGAAAAAAAACACGGCTCTTTCACTGTGCCGGTTGAACAAGCAACAAAAAGGGCTTGTGCTGCAACTGGTTTATCTAAAACGACAATAATGACAATAAAACGTGAAGCAAAAAAAATACAAACAGAAACAGCGCGAGCAGCGAATGTTCAGGAAGACATGACGTCCTTCGAAGATGGTGAGCATCCACAACCTAGTACTTCAGCTTCAGTTGCCACGGACACTATCAAGCTCTCGACACCAGGGAAAAAGCGTAAAAAATACAAAAAGAAAATAGATCTAGATAATTTTGATTTATGCGCGATACGCTCTTTGGTTGAAAGTTTTTATACCACAAGAAAAGAAATACCTACTTTAAAAAAGATTCTTACAATAGCAAAACGGGAGCTCAACTTTCCCGGCCAAAAAGACGCCCTAAGAAACATACTAATAAATGATTTGGGGTACAGCTTTAAAAAATGTAAACGAAAACGCGATTTTTTGGTGCAAAGACCTGAAATAGCAGCCTGGAGAGCAAAATATTCAAGGCGACTGAAAGAAAATGACGAACGTGGTGCCGAAAAAAAACCAGTTACATTTATCGACGAAACCTGGATACATTCACACTATACTGTCTCAAAATGTTGGCAAAATAGTAGTGATTCCAGTGTCCGAATAAATCACTCTCCTGGTCAGCGCTGGATTGTGGTACACGCAGGTAATGAGAACGGTTTCATACAAGGAGCCGAGCTCCTATATAAGTGTAAATCAACAACCGGTGATTACCATGACGAAATGGATGCGTCCAATTTTACCAAATGGATTAAAGAGAAATTGATACCGAACCTTCCACCCAACGGAATAATTGTCATGGACAACGCGCCCTATCACAGTAAGCAGGCAAATAAGCCGCCAAATTTCAGTGCACGTAAAAACGAAATGCAAACATGGCTGCAAGAACACAACATCGAATTTGATGACAAAATGACTAAAAGAGAACTGTATATGTTGATTCAAAGAAATAAACCTGAGAAGGTTTATTTCATCGATGAAATATTTAGAGCTCATGGACATGAGGTATTACGTCTGCCACCCTACCACTGTGATCTCAACCCTATTGAGTATGTTTGGAATTTGATGAAACAAAGGGTGGCAGACAAAAATATTGACCAATCAGAAAAAGATATAGAAAGGTTAACAAAGGCAGCGATCCAAAGTATAACCCCGGAAGATTGGAAAAAAGAATGCAACCATGTTGATCGCTTAAGAGATAAGTTTTGGCATAATGACAGATTATATGAACATGAAGAACGCGAATTAATAATTTCATTAGGAGGAGAAGACAGTGACAGCGAAACCGAAGACAACATTTTGAGTGATAATATAGAAGATGACGAAAACGACAGCGCTACCATGTCTGGTGTCGAGGCTTTTCTAGAATAGTTTCGCCACTTTCTCTTCCTCTCTACTTTTTCTTTGTATTATTTGTAAATAATTTGAATTTTAAATAATGTAAATAATAAGTATTTGTAAATTTCAAGTAGGTACGAGTATCAATAAAAATAAGTACACAAATAAAATATTTTTTATTTATACATCTTCAATTTTTTTGCTATCTCTCCAGTTTGTATGACGTCATTAAGCCAGGTTCGCAGATATTTCCGACGACTTGTATGTACATACATAATATGTACTGTACTTGTGTTTATGACATTGCTTATAACGACTATCGGATATAACGTCGGCAACTATACGGTCCCTTCAATGTCGTTATAAACGGTTTTGACTGTAATTATGATTGGAATATAATTTAAAGATTATAAATAATAATATTGTATTTTTTAATGCATGAACATATTATGTAATAATTAATCATATGATATACTTGTTAAATATGTTATTCATTATGGAAATAAAGAGGCTATAATAATAATAATAATTTTCTTTACAGCTTAACCTGACAAAATTGCTAAATTGAGACTATATGAATAAATTTTTATAACCAATTGAACATTGCCTGAAGACATCTTTTTCTATCTTGATGGAGTCATCCTAACTAAATAAATACTGTTATTATAATATTTTTAAATGGCTTAATATTTACACATTATAATATTAAAAATACCTATGTTTTTTTTAAACAACAAAAAGCAGAGGAGAATAATACAAATCATGAACATAGTGAGGAAAAATTTAATTATAATAAATATCTGCTAGTAATATGGCATTCTTATTTATTGTAAAATATGATATTATATTGGGGGATTATGTTTTTGTTAGACATGCATAAATAATTAATTGAATATTATTGAACAATGTGCAATTATTTGTAGGTACACTGAAATCTTCAATGAATCAAAGTCAATAATCTATAGTAAATTATAAACTCAATATCTACGAAGTCGGTAGTCGGAAGGGCATTGCCGTCTTGTTTCTCATCTCCGTCTATATTTTAATAATTTATTTATAATCACACTCTAAACTCAAAATACCCCAAAATATCGTAAATATAAAAATTATATTTTTTTCCTATATTAGCCATAGTAGATAAATCTTATTATTTTAACTTTATTAACAAGTTTTAATACAAATATTGAATTTTATAGGTTCTAAATTATTATTTGGACATTTCGATACAAAAAAGTTGAACAAAAAGTAACTTTTTTAGAATCGCTTATTCTGTCATAGTTGGAAGGCGCGACTGTCAAATTTCGGTTCAGCCGAGCGGTCATGGTACGGATTTTCATACAAATTGAACGAACGAAATCTGATAACCGCTAAGGTCACGTGGGAACATAAACTGTCTCGTTTTTTCGATGTCATGGTACGAATTAGCGATGCATCTCAGTTGTAGGTTGTCAATAGGCTCGCAATAAGAGTTCATGGTAGGCCCCAAGGGCTGTCCTTGGTGCATCTTATATGCTTATGAAAATTTTTTAGGAAAAGTAGGAAATTTGGTACAGTCATCCATCCACTCGGATGTGGAGCTCCTTCAGTACCCAGTGGGCCACCATCTATCATTCGTTGCTGCCAATTTTTACGTGGGAATATAATAAATGGTGGAAGGTGGTTACCTATAGCATTTATAGCTCCACATACAGTAACAAGCTGCCCACGTTCTCCAGATGTGACCTTAGACACTTGTTTAAGACCTCTACATGCTACAATTTTTTTTGGCTTATGAACTGTAGTGATTCGAGTTTCGTCTACATTCCAGATTTGGTCCGGCCCAAAATTAAATCTCTGTAATAAGCTTTTCAAATTCTCAAAGAAAGTTCCAACATTGTGTCTGTTAAAAGCTGTGGCGCGAGACAAACTAGTGGCTTCGGGTACACGCAATGACAACTCTTTGTGACGATTCATAAAACCGTAGAACCAATCGTAAGTAGCTGTTTCCTGTTCAACCCATTTTGGTGGTATTTTTTTACTATTTTCAGAAGCATATTGAAATGCAAGGTCTCGTACATTCTTAGGAGTTAATCCATGGTACAATTTACTGGCCATTATTAAATAACTAACAAGTTCTGTCTCTTCAGTTGACGAAAAAATTTGTGACTGGCGATAGGTTGGCGTGTAATCAATATTTTCAGTCGTAGCATTTTTCTTCTTTCTGACATATCTTTTCAGTGTCATAACTGCTATCCCGTAACCTTTGGCAGTACCACGAATACTCTTACCCCCTATAACATCATTAACAGCCAACTCCAAGATTTCCTTATCGATTGGTATTCTTTTTCTTGCACCTTCTTTTGTTTTATATACCCTAGGCATATTGAATCCTGAAATTATTAAAAAAAAAAAAGGGTGCGTGTACTTATGTACGCACGTAAGAAGTTATACTTCTTTGGCATTATTAAAAATAGTTTTTGATTGCATGCAAATAATTAATTACAATTAAATAATCAAAGACTGGAAAAGGAGTCATTAAAGTCAATAAAGTTCAGTTTACATTTGAAAAATTAATTAAATAAATATTTATTATTATTCTCTTACATTAAACAAATAAAACACTATTTATCTTTAAAACATTTTTATTTCATTATACCTACTATTTATTTTTAAGTGACTCTAATGTCTTCATCAGAATTTCGGTTTGTAATTTTAAATTAATCATTACTTGGTTGCGCATCTACGAGGCTTCTCCAAAACTACTTGCTTTCTGCAACAAATAAGAGAATATTAATTTAAGCTCTGTCCATGCAAAACTTAAAATTTTTTATAATTCATATTATAAATTTTTAACACATTTATATTAATATAATTATATAAATGTGTTAATAATATAATTTCTAGCACATACTACAGACCTGGATAGCAACTTTCTTTTATTCTATTTAGAGATAGAGATAATTTAAATATAATACCGGTGTCTTCCTTGTAGGTTTCTTTGGAGTTGTTTGGGGATTCTTGTTGTTCAGTTCGACATGATTTTCTTTAACCTTTCTTTAATCCTACAAAATAATGAAATTGTTAAGTTATGTTGTCACTGTTGTGCACACCTTTGTTTGGCTTTTTTAGTATTCAAGTTATGTCAAAACTGATTTATTACCTTGTCATTGTTGGCTTTATTTGCTTTTGGGATATCAATTGTTTCCAAAATGATTTTATTTGTAATAACCTGAAATATATAAATAACATCTATTAATTTAATTATCATGGTGAGTGGTTCGCACTCAGGTATTAAGGTGTATTATACCCACTGTCCATTATAAGTGGGAATGGGCTCACTTCTGGCAGGACAGAGTTTCGGTACTACAAGTGCAACATGGATGTTTTGAGGTATTACAATATCTCTAACTACCCTGTAGGGGAATAAAGTAATGTTGTAAGCATATGCCTATGCTTGAAAGGTTGAACCTTGAACATCACCATACATCATATTTATAATTAACATTCCTACCTGACTTTGATTGTGACACCATCACAATCAAATTCATTGAAATCTACTTCAAACCATTGTGTCTCGAGAAGGTGATGGTGGCTTTGTTCCACCTCCAGTTTTTGATGTTTCACGGCGATAAGATGGGTTGGGGTTGATATCCATGCGTTGGAATTTGATGATACTGATTATGCAGGAGTCTCGGGGACCCTTGATTGGAACACCTCCAAGTGATTTTAGCTTTAGGATAAGCGTCAAAGTATTTTAAAAAAAATTTTTTAACTTTTGTCAATTGTATTGAAATTATAAACAATCCGCCATTATCTAACTACTTTTCTATTGGTTATAAGAGATGTGACATTCTCGATTTCTATTGGTTATGAGTGATGTGTCATTGTCGTTTTCTATTGGTTATAAGTGATGTGACATTTTCGGTAAATTAATTGGATCGATTATTTTCTCATTTGTTATTTTTAAAGTTGAACCTAATCGAATCGATTATTTCCTCATTTGTTAATTTTATAGTTGAACCTAATTTAAGCATTACTTGTCAAATGTACATACATTACATTAACTTCATGTTTTAATTAATGTATGGTTCCGAAAATTATTAAATTATTCAAATAGTACCCAAAACCGAATCAGAGCACCCCACTATCCACGTGGTCTTGTCTGCCTTACCCCTAGAGTGTATATAAATAATCGGAGGCGCGGAGGAAGAGAGAAGATAAAATGCCTGTGCTTTGGTACGCAAGGGTGGAGGGGCTGCATTTCCCGTAGCGCCGGAGCTGTCCACAAAAACAAATATTATTTAGATTGGTTAGGTTAGAGTTAGTATATGAATATTTGGTCGCCGAAGGCGACCAGGACGCCGAGAAGCCGAGGCTTGAATAAACAATTACTATTTAGATCGGAGCTGTCCACAAAAACAAATATTATTTAGATTGGTTAGGTTAGAGTTAGTATATGAATATTTGGTCGCCGAAGGCGACCAGGACGCCGAGAAGCCGAGGCTTGAATAAACAATTACTATTTAGATCGGAGCTGTCCACAAAAACAAATATTATTTAGATTGGTTAGGTTAGAGTTAGTATATGAATATTTGGTCGCCGAAGGCGACCAGGACGCCGAGAAGCCGAGGCTTGAATAAACAATTACTATTTAGATCGGAGCTGTCCACATAAACAAATATTATTTAGATAGGTTAGGTTATATAAATATTAATTTACTAACCGTATATTAATATTGTTTTTAAATAACTGGTTCCGAAAATTATTAAATTATTCAAATAGTACCCAAAACCGAATCAGAGCACCCCACTATCCACGTGGTCTTGTCTGTCTTACCCCTAGAGTGTATATAAATAATCGGAGGCGCGGAGGAAGAGAGAAGAGAAAATGCCTGTGCTTTGGTACGCAAGGGTGGAGGGGCTGCATTTCCCGTAGCGCCGGAGCTGTCCACAAAAACAAATATTATTTAGATTGGTTAGGTTAGAGTTAGTATATGAATATTTGGTCGCCGAAGGCGACCAGGACGCCGAGAAGCCGAGGCTTGAATAAACAATTACTATTTAGATCGGAGCTGTCCACATAAACAAATATTATTTAGATAGGTTAGGTTATATAAATATTAATATACTAACCGTATATTAATATTGTTTTTAAATAACTGTTCAACTGAAACTCGAAATCGAAAACAAAATCGGATTTAAAATCGGATTCAAAATCGAATACTAAAATAATCGATTTTTTCACTTTCACAGAATAGATTATTTTTCACATCTCTATTCTCTACTATTCATTGTTTAAAGTATAAACGCAATCGGCCATTTCGAATTTGGATTTTGCCAGAACAGTGTGTGTTCACAGTATTCAAGTGCAAAATATCAGTTAAAAGCCGTTACTTTTTAGATTTTTTTATTTTGGTTTCCTAAGCCCAAAATTTGTGGGGGGTGATTACTACACCCCTCCCCCCCCTCCCCCTCCCCCCGCACCCCAAATTTAGGGACTTCTCTCTCACATCTTTACCCTTATATTTGCTAGATTAAATCTGATGTTTTGATTAAATAATGTGGTCATTTTTTTGAGATGCAGGTACTTATTAAAATGTTTACTTCTCTGTTATATCGCTCCAAGCCTTCATTTTCTCCTTATTAGTATTCGTGCTTAAATCTTTGTTCTCAATTATTGATATATAGGGTCGTAGAATATTTCTAAAAAGTTGCTGTAACAAACGCAATAAACAAAAGCAATGAATAATGGTTCATGTTTCAGTTTTAATCAACAATAATACTCGATAATACATACGGATAGTTAACCTCAATTGTATTGAAGCACTCAGGAAGGTTAGCACAGTTTTTTCACAAATATTTTATATTATTTCACAAATATTTTGTATAATGAAAATAACTAGGTATATAATTATTAATTTTAAACAATAATTAAAACTCCTATATTTGTTTAAAAGGTAAATGTCATTGTCAGATGTCAATTGTCATGGTCATTCAAAATTCTTGTTAAGCTGCTAAGCTAGAATATGCGTGAAGTTAGCTTCACGCATATTCTATTTCTTTTTACTTGTAGTTTGTCTTATTCCCATCTCGCTCGCGCACGCTATATCACACTGCCAATTTTGTGTCATAGGTGCGCGCGCAATCGTAAAATTTCACTCTCATCAATTTTTCATAACGCGCCTAAAGAAGTACAACTTCAATAAACATTAGGGGACACTTGATCCGGCGGGATCATATCTCCCATAAGAAAGTGTGTACCATGTGTACCCTAGGTACATTGAGGTTATAAAAAATTATTGTAAAAATATCTACTACTATTAACACTGTTCTATGAAACAGACGTTTAAACACATAGATAATGAATAGTTTAAATTTGAAGTTTAAATTGATTCTTATACAAAATATGTTTCCTAACCAATTGTGCAATCAAAATAAAAACTTAAAAAATAATTTCTGGCCACACGAAACACACAATCATCCGCCATCTGCTCAACTGTCAAATTTGACAGGAGTACCAACTTTAGAAAGTTAGAACGTACCATAGACTATTAATGTTGCAACTTTAAAATCTTATAGTGTTCACAGAAGCTTTGTAAATCCAGTGTATCTAGTCTCCCGTAAGGATCAAGTGTCCCCAGTCTCCTACTAACCTAACCTAACCAAACAATAATAATAATACATTTTTGGACAGCTCCGGCGCTACGGGAAATGCAGCCCCTCCACCCTTGCGTACCAAAGCACAGGCATTATGCAACTTCCTCCGCGCCTCCGATTTTTTATATACACTAGGGGTAGGGCAGACAAGACCTCGTGGATAGTGGGGTGCTCTGATTCGGTTTTGGGTACTTTTTGGATATTAAAGTAAGCACTTTATTCTAGTAAGAATTTAATAATACAGAAAGTTGCAAACCATGAAATACAAGTACAAATTAGGAAATACAGATGAGTAAAAATCACTTTGGTTTTATCATCCTTTCGATGTTTTACAAAAAAAATCAATGCATCGAGTATATCAATACATCTTCAAAGAATCGTATTCAATGTATCGCATTCTAAACATCGATGTATATCGAATATCTGTAATAGTTCGAGGTCCGGGTTATAAAAGGCCAGACATAATGTCGGGAGGTGGCAGAGGAAAAATCGACTATGATTGATTTTCAATTATAAAAATAATCGATTATTTTAAATATAAAAATCGCATAAAAAAAATCGATTTTTACTTTGAAAAAAATCGATTTTTTTAATAATCGATTATTTTTTCACATCACCTACCTAAGAGATCGAGTTGGCAACACTGTTCACATCCCTAGTTTATAAGTAAGAAATTATGCTCTTCTTATTCTAAGCATAATTATTCCTAGTATAAGGTTTGAATAA